CACACAGGTCATAGTCTTGACCACAGAAGGACAAGCCACACTGATTCAGATTCACACTGAAACTAAACTAGCAAAGTCAATTCAATGGACTCCTTTGACATCTATAGTGATGTAAAAAGTAGATTACACAAGAAGAAATTAAGATCAAGTGCATCAAATGCTGGCAAGAAGACTTTACATTAAGAGTGATACAAGTCTGTAAGAAGCTACTTAGTCATGTTGATGAAGATGTTACCCTGGGTTCCTTCACAAAATGGCTCACTGAGCTCTTCACATCTGTTTGGTATTGGTAACCCTTGCAACCTAAATAGTCTGTGTTTATCATCGTAAAGATATTTCATTTTAATCAGCAAAATGAATCTCTGAATTGACTAGATCAGAAGATACTGTATTTTAAAATGATGTAACTTCTTTTTACTATAAAAAAAGAGATGTAGCTCTTGGCTCTGAGTCAATTAAAGGTGTTGCTTTTGGTGTGATGGCAAAGAATATCAAAAGCAAAACTGTGGAGCTTCGCTCCTGAGCGCAGGACTATAAATAGCTGAGTTGTTGCGCTGTGAACAATAAAGATGAGTGCTGTGTGGGTGTAGACAGGTGCTAACAAGCAGCAATGATTGCAGTGCTCACAGCTCTGTAGACCGTCATGAGGAGAGGCTATAACGAAGGACCCTAACATCTGGACACTTCATCCCTGAATGCAGGGACCAGTGACCTGTGTCTTCAGATTCAGGATCATACTGATAGGGCATTGCCCATCTGGCTCTGCGACCATAGCAGAAAATATAAAAAGACGTCTCCAGCAAGTCATATGTCTCCTAAGTATCAGATGAATTGAAAAAAATCTTATAAGCAGGGATAATGCACCAGAGCAAGGCTAGCTTCCCACAGATACAGAGTTATACAAACAGTTATAAATACCAGACTTACAGCATACCCTAGTTACTCTACAGTAATAGAGACCCTAAGAGACAGTCTGAAGGAACTGAATTACAGTCAAATTTATCCAGGGGCAAACAAGAAGCATGACAAAGAACATGACAATAATGAATAAATATAGTATATTACCTTCATTAATGTTCTGTTATTTACAGACGTGGGGGCTTGGATCATTAAGCAATTTAATAGAAAACTACAAGAGGTATAATTTCCAGAAATTAAAACAAAACATCAGTTTGCATCAGGATACTGTAGGTATTTGCCTAGGTCTTACTTAATTGAAGCAACGGGAACTTAATGATTCACATTAATCACAATTGCTGTTTTGCACATTAGAGGTGACAGAGGAAAAATTGCATTTTGCTAAAATACTGAATACACCCATGTCATTGTACATTGCTAGAATTTAAACAGTTAAAACCAAAAATCACAGGAGGGAGATACCACCATAAATAAAGTAAAGCATCATAAATTCACTTTTGGTAAATGTGTTTCCAGCTAACAGCTGGTGGAGTCGTGTTGCTGGCTAGGATCATGTTGAATCAATCAAATTCTGTTTCCTACATTACTGTTTTTGATAGTGAGCACCAAAGTACTTGACAAAGTCAAGTCACCACTTGGATCGTTGACAGTGTCACACTTCTGTGGGTTAGATGAAGCACCGTGTTGAAATTCACAACTATGTACAGGTAAAAGAGCAGACTGTGTAATATGTATCAATCCTGGCCTTGCGATGCTTAAGCAATGATAAATAAGAAGAGTGAGCTGCTTCTCTATGCCCTTCTGAGACTGTTGAGACGGGAAGTCAGATGCTACTGTAAATCTGTAGAGTTCATTACCAGGGACACTCACTAAATTATAATGGATTTCATTCCAAGGCACTTTCCAATGGTTTAAATGATCGGACAGTGACAAATCTCCTCCATATCTCCATTCTCTAGTATTTAAACTCCAAATACAATTTTTGATTGTGGCCAGTGGACGCTGATCGCACCTTTTTTTAATTTTTATTTATTACATTTCACATTTAAATGAGTAATGGAGAGCTAACAGAAAGCTTTCATAGAATTCCTGACCTGTATTGTACTTTTATCTTATGACATTATTAACCTTTAAGTATCATAAAAGAATAAACTTCTATCCATTCGGTCTGACTCAATGAATTCCCATCTCCCTGAGCCAAATGGGTCAGCTGTCCAACCCAGATGACATCATCATTTATATCCCAGGCCTGTCTGTGCTCCCACTGCTCCCATCGGAAACACAAATGTCAGCAAAAATATGGGAATATGCTTAGAGATTTTGCTTTTCTGAGAGCAGAGAGCACCTCTGAATTAATTTAATGAAGGATTTTAACATGAAAGCACTAGAGAGGCTTTGCACAAGGTCATACCATAAGACAGCATGGTAGAAACACACAGAACATAAAACAAATGTAAAGTCAGATGTGGCAGATTGGCCTCTTCTTGTCATTATTTTTTTAATTCTAATGTTGCTAATAAATTAACAGGATTGTGAACTCAGACTCACAACCCAAGTCTGCAGACTGAGGAGATTCCTGTTGACGACAACCAGGGGATCAGGGGCTTTAAGCTGATAATTCCCTTGTGAACAACAAACTGCATCCGCAAGAAATCCCCAGCCTGGGTCAGAACCTCACTGAGTAGCCATGGGCAACATCTCTCCATCCACATGGTGAGAGGCCACTCTACTCACTGGAGATGTGCAGATCCTACTCAGGCTTGAGCTTATTACTGGTTCACTCACTGGTTACCAACCTGAAATGGAGTTTATAATGAACGTTTGGGAGAGATGACAGCAGCCAAGTCTCAATGGTCCTAAATTATAATCATTGTCAAAATCTCAGTTTAAAAAAAAATTATTAATAATGCACATAAGATTTTTTCTCCTTTACATTTGACTTTTGTAACCCTCCTCCCCCTCATCTTCAATTACCCAGTGAGCAGTGTCCTGTGAGCAAGAGCTGGGCCACAGCCAAGAGGGTTAAACCAAATTTATTGTAGCTAAACACTCAAATAACATTTTCATTACTTTTAATTCCTGAGTGTGGCTATTTCTTGTGAACTCCGGATTAGTTGGTGTCTATTTTGAATATTGCAGCTGCTCATTCGTTCTTCAGTGGATTCCCCTGCCTCCTAAAAAAGCAGGTAAGGCATAAAAAATGCGCAACTCTACTATTGTTCTGTGAGGGAGGAGCCAGTGGAAATAAATCTATGGTTGAATGAATGTGGGGTTCTGTTGAACAGTTAGTTGTTCTGGACATACACGTTTCTGAAAAAAAAAAGAGAAACTGCGTTTCTTCCTTTCTTTTTTCCTTTCAAGTGCCACCATAACGATCTCCATCCAAAACCACATGTACTTTACCATTTGAGCTGTAGGACTGCACCTGCTGTTCTCAGTGTGGAACTACTTGAGAAGCACTGTGTCCTGTTATCTCCACCAACACACCAATAAGGAATACAGAGATTCAGATCATTGGAATGTCTCTCTCTCTCCACTCAAGATTGTATGGATACTCTAAAAAAATTCCTCTACAATGGGTATTTCTTATCCTGTGCTGTGACATTCTGACCCTCCACCTATAGTGAGGTTTGTCATGAAGGCCAGCAGTCCTGCAGATTGTAATAGGTCTCTCCAAAAACGTTTTCAGACCTGCAAACAGCCTTTTGCTGCTTTAGTTCATCATGTGGGTTTGGATCGATTAAGTATCTGAAAACTGTAATGGAATAAAAAGCAGCCTCAGCAGATTCTTTATCTTTACCATTAGGTGGGTACTTAATCTGGATGCTGCACGATGTACTGTAGAATTATGTTTCTTTTCTACCATGACAAATAACACATTGTTAGGGAGAGTGTGACAGGTAGATCTGTATTCAAGCAAAAATCATCCAACGGTCCAATACTTAGCTTCATTTCCATGGAGTTATTTGAGAGTTTAACCTTCCTCTTGATGGGACTTTTAAATACCCCGGATAGTATGCTAATCCATCACAGAGTTGACCCTCAGCAAACAACAGTCCCAGCTGGAGTAAAGTACCTCTTGCAGGGTACAACAGCAGTGTCTGCAGCAGGGACTCGAACCCACAACCCACCAATCACGAGTCCAGAGCCTTACTTTACCTATACAAGATCCCCTCCCCCACTGAGGCACACATCAGCCTATAGTTCCAGTCCAGTTCCTGTCTGCAAAAGGAGAGAATAACTTCACAGAATGAATGGGAGAGCTTTTTGCTCCAGAGCAAATTCCTTTTCCTTTCTCTAATTTTTAACTCTGCTCTAGATAGGCTCCCAAAACTGTGCTCTATTGTTTCTTAACAGATTTGTAAAGTACCACAAAACAACTTTTCAAGAACAAAATGTGTTTGTTTCCATATCACCATGAAACAGGACTGGTCCACATGGTTTCATGCAGTCGCCTTTCCTTTTGTTGTAGTAGAGAATGCATTGTAGTGGAATTTAATGTAAAATTAAATATTTTAAGTACAGTATATGACCGTATATTCCCAGATGCTGAAATATATTTTCCAGAAATATGACAGTATTTTACAACTAAATTTAAAATTAATGTATTTTACTATTAAATATCTTAAGCATATATGTTACATACTATAAAAATCTAGAACATATTTCAAGAAATATACAGGAATAAACAAAATCACAGTTAACATAATTCTGAATACACTACTGTTAAATAACCAGATGGAAGATTTTTTGGGAACATTAAACATTTTGTCGACATATCATTTTATCTTTTAAGATACAAAATAATACATTTTAGATATGTTTCTTCAAATAGGAGGTTGTGAATTCACTTCCTACAGTATATGGAACACGGTAAATAAACCACTTTAGATAAATGCTACTAATAATTGCTGGAGAACCGGCCCACAAAACAGTATGGTTTTAAGACATTTGATGTTCACCAGAATTCGTGGGATGTTGACTAGTGCATGCACAATCACATTATTGCACGTTGTGCGTCTCACGCCGTGAGCACATGAGCTGTATCGGAAATGCAGTCTCTTTTTTCCCCCGGCACAGTCAATGCAGCAATCGCACCAGTTTATTCACTGAAGCGGTTGTGTTTTCTAACAGCGTCTAGTGTTTGTCAGATAGGCGTGCACAAGGCTCTGCTTTTTTTCAGCTCGCATCTGCAGCGTCCCTCTCTGCCTCAGTTTCCCACATCGCAAAGTGTCCGCGTGTGTGAGGTCACACGAAGCTGCGGCCGGCGAGGCTGAGCAGCTGAGACGCCGGGGCGAGGAGGAGTCTGGTTGTCAGAAGGAACAGTCTGATTAGCTGCGGAGCGCAGTGTGCTCAGTGGAGGGAAAGAGATTGTCCTAATTTCTCCAGTGCTTGAACACATCAGATGGTGCTTTTAAGATCGGCAGAGACAGGACTCTGCAGCGAGTCACCCTGCCCAGTCGCCACTGCAGTCTTTCGGCGAGAGCCCACACTGAGCTGGGCTCTGCCAGGCTCGCCAATAAATACAATACAAGAAAATGCTCTTTGCAACTGCAAGCAAAGGCGACTGAAACATTTCGGGAGATTTTCTTTTCCTTTTAAGTAATTTAAAGTTTGTGTTTTTTAAAACGTTATTATTTTTTCAGAATTTATTTCACTGATTTCTCAGGCGACCTGGCGCAATATTTGCACCGTACGGGTTTGAGTCTACGTGCAGCGATTGTTTTGTGTGGAATAGGAGGAAGAACAACGAGGATCTGCTGAGTTAACCTCGGTCTTTTTTATTCAAAGCAACGAATGAGAAAAACACGAGTACAATCAGCAAATAAGAGGAGAAAATCGGCTTCAGAGAGGGGAGGCGGTTAGGTGACCGGGGACTTGCGTACTGCGCGCAGGGTGCCAACTAGGCTCAGATGATTCTCGTTTATTGATTTCGTGCGGGGAAAAAAGCCCTGTTCGAGTTGATACGATGAATCGTCTTTGTGGTTTTTAACTCCCAACGCAGAGGGGAGTCGGCAAACCAGAACACTGGTCTCTCCAGCCCTTGCTCTCCACCTGAGCTCTCCGTCTTTCACAGGTGAGCGATTTCTTGTTTTCATTGCTGCTTTGGTTGCAGATATTTTCAAGGATCTAAAATTCGGTTGTGCACGTCTTTGATTGCGCCAGCTATGTTGCTGCTAATGCACGAAAAACCAACCACAAGGGTGCAAGAGAACTTAGGTTCATGTACAGAACGGTGTGATGAAATAGCTTTTTTTTGTCCTCTCGCAATCTGTTGCTTAGTAGCGTGCCTCTTGCGCAGTGGGGTCCAGTCTGTGCTCGTGGCTGGCGGTGTGTTGTTCTGTTGTCCTGGTGGGCCCGAGCAATGACAGTGTTGTAGTGTTGTGCTGTGTGACCTGTAAGAGAGGCTGTGTCTGGTACAATCGGGGCGGAAGGTTAGGGAGGGTAGGTCCCCGCGTTGCTAGCCTGATCAGTTATCGCCAGAGAAACCGCTGGTAACTGCAACTATCACCTTATTTTCATTCAGACCTTATGATTTGCCTCTTCTCATTCGAGATATTTAGCAGACATTATCGTGCACGCAGACCCTGGTGCTGACTATATCCATGTCCTTATTCATTACAGAGAAGCCTGCCCTGTGTTCTACTCCCGGGAATCATCTGGGAAAGGCAATGAATTAACCAGAAGAACTGAGCATTCCTCATGCTGAGGATAAGAGAGATTCTTTATCCCTTTATTTATTTTGTGGAAGCAACAAACCTTTTTTGCTTCTTCTTCTGTTCTTAAAGAAGACTACCGAGAACGCTGGCTCTAACTTTATTTCTGTTCGTTAAACTGAACATACTAAGTGGTACAAACTCGAAGGGGACTCGGTGTAACCATGGGTACAGTGTTGTCACTGTCTCCGGGGTCCAGGAAGGCTGGTTTCTATGATGATGGGCCAGGGTCGCTCAGCCACTATCCCAGCCTGGCAGGCAACAAGTCACTAAGTGTGCAGAAGGAGCGGAGCATCAAACGCCACTCCATGTTCCTGCCTGCACTCACCTGGAAACGCCTGGTCGCCTCCACGAAGAAACGGGGCTCCAAAAAAGCTGGGGTCCCAGGTGGGGGCGGTGCCCTGAACAACAACAACAATTACCAGAAGGACGTAGCCCACCTCAACCACGAGAATGTCAAGAAGTCGCTGTCTTGTGCCAACCTATCCAGCTACGAGGGACAGCCCCTGGCGCCGTTGACAGGCACCCATGGGAAACCCCAGCTCTCCTCCATCAAGAAGGTGTCATCCGGCTACCCTTCAGGGGGCTCACCCAAGCGCGTGATCGTCCAGGCCTCCACCAGCGAGCTGCTCAAGTGCCTGGGCGAGTTCCTGTGCGGCCGCTGTTACCGGCTGAAGCACCTGTCGCCGACAGACCCCATCCTCTGGCTGCGCAGCGTGGACCGCTCGCTGCTCCTGCAGGGCTGGCAGGACCAGGCCTTCGTCACGCCGGCCAACGTGGTGTTCGTCTACTTGCTGTGCCGCGACGTCATCGACGGAGACCTTGTGGCCTCCGAGCACGAGCTGCAAGCCACGCTGCTCACCTGCCTCTACCTGTCCTACTCCTACATGGGCAACGAGATCTCCTACCCGCTCAAGCCCTTCCTCGTCGAGACGGGCAAGGAGGCCTTCTGGGACCGCTGCCTGCGCATCATCGACACCATGAGCGCGAAGATGCTGCGCATCAACGCCGACCCACATTTCTTTACACAGGTGTTTGCGGACCTAAAGAGCGAGGGCAGCCGCGAGGACTACAGCCGGGTGCTGGATCGGTGAGAGGGGGAACGCTGCCTCCCACCTCTTCATCCCACATCTCCTCATCTCACAGGGCCTCTCCCAGTCTTGCACAGCTGCTCCAGAATTCCTCTGAGAGCACGGAGGACAGATCGAGGCAACCCAGGGTTGCTGGTCAGTCATCTAGTTGGTAAAAGCACTTGATTTGGTTGTTTTCTAATCATTCCATCGTCTGTAGACCTGGGCATTCAGACACTTGTGTCTGCTGCTGATTATTGCATCCAAAAAGTATATATATATGTTTGTTTCTTAAATGTCTCCCTGGGTCTAGCCCACTCACTGTTATGCACCATCTGACATAAATTAGGAATAATGGGCTGGGCTTGCACTATGTATTAGTATAAAAGGAGCCTGGACTATACCTGGTATTAAAACCTAAAAAATCCAGCCACCCTGCGCTTCCCTCTTTCCAGATATCTCCATGTAATTTCATAAGCGACAGCATGTTAATGTGGTTTCCCTTCAGTTTAAAAGATCTCAGCCGGGCTGGGTAATTACTAAGTAAAAAAGAGAATTTTTGAGCAGTAGCTCTGGGTTGGCGAGACTAACTCAGATAGGAAGACAGCTACAGGCTGCTCTCTCCCGCATTCAAATTAGAAGACATTACCTGGAAGTGCTCGCTGGGAAAGGGGTTGGCTCACTGTTGTGCACATGCCCAGTTGGCAAGGATCACTACCTCCATTGGTCATGTGTACAAAATCTATAAAAGACCTGACAGTACTTGAAGAAAAGAGTGAACTTTGTAAAAGACATAACTTGTCTGTTCCTCTCTCCGAGATCGATTATCTATTGGTACCGAGTAGTCCTCAACTCTGAGCAGCATTCTTAATTTCCACGCCTGTACAGTTTCTGTGAAGTCACATGCCATTCAATAAGAGAATACAACATTTTATGACAGGAATCTAAAAACTGTTTCCCGATTGGAGAATAATTCAAATCTTTTTTCAGTTACCTGTTGAATTTTCCTCCTCTTCCGAGCAGGAAAAATCCTTTGACATACAGCTATTTGGAAAATTGTTACTTCACTTTGGTGGCGGTGATGTGTTCAAGTTTATTTTTCCAAAAGTCAGAGTAGAGAGCCTTAGTCTCTTTTAGTAACAGTCTTTACTTTATTGTTCTGTTATACAGTATAGAGGTGACACTGTGCTGAATCTGTTCATGTTACTCCTTATTGTAAATACAATTTGTTAGACACTTGTATGCCTTGAAATCTGTAAATCAAGACAGAATCACTTAATATGGGTTTAAAGGAAGGAATACTAGTACTCTGAAGCTCATGACAATGTGATTCATGAAAACTAAGAACAGTGGAAATGATAACCGAACCAAGGGGAACTGACCTAGGAACAATATAACCCATCACTCTAGAAAGCTGTAAAGAAGAAAAAGCTTTCAGTGGGAGTTGTGTTCAGCTTTTTGTTTATTAAAGCTCTTATCAATCACTCCCACAGGCTGTGCTGGAGCCACCACCTTTATTTTACATCTAGAATCCCTATATTTTCATCAATGTGCTGCTGATTGATTAAGGATCAATCACATTTCTGAACCCCCCCCCCCCTTTAGCTTGCCTTGCAGCAAAACATGGCATGTCCCTTCACATGTTCTTCTTCCCTTCAAGGCAGAATAGGAATGAAGTCAATCTGGGCCCCATCTGTGTGAGTCAGCCTGAACTGCAATCTTTGTGATCATGTTGGTAAATAGTGCCTCAGCACACAGCAATGGATTAGACCTGATGTAAGTGGAGAAATATGTTGAAAAAGATTTCTACATTTATTACTTTAAATTCTGCAATGTGTTAATTAGCATCTGCACTACAAATGCATGAATACACGGACACAGCATACAGACAGACAGCAGATGTATCTCGGCTACTACTAAGTTGTTTATGGGCTTGTTCTTCCTATGAGATTTGCATTTTTTTCCACCAAATTATTATAACTGCTGTCCCCTCTGTGAGTCATGTGAGCTTCCCAGCTGTGCCCCATGTCCTTCTGCCATGAAGGAAATCAGATTTGTGCACGTGCTTAGATTTGTGTACATATCGCTGACTGCTGAAGGTTTCCATGACGATCCGGGTGTCCTCAGCAGGGGCAGAAGGAGTGCTGTGAGGACCTAAGTTCTGTCCTGAAGAGATGCATCTTGTGTTTGTAGTTTAATATGGTCTGTGGCACTATGGGTGAAGGTGGTTTGATTGCAGGGACGTGACGGGTTAACATCAGGGATGTGAACAGACACTTCCAATGAAACAGTTAGGTCACCTCCTGTCCTCTGTCATCCTCTCTGGACCACAGACCACTCATGCTGTAAAATGCCTTTTTGTCTCCTTCTGCTGAAATCATGAAACCTTTGCTTGTTCACACTGTAAGCCTTTTAAACTGAATCATGTGATCAAGTGAAACAAGCCCACTTATTGACCCATTTAGATGAAAAAAGATTTGCAGAGTGTAGCCAAATCATTAGCTAGTCTTATATGTATTTCTGAAGGGACAAAATAAAGGGACTCTTGTGCTCTTTTATGCTAATGCTGCAAAGTTGCACAAAATTGCAGGATGCATAACATTAAATGCTATTTCTCTTGTATATATTCACAGTACCTTTCGCAGAATGGGGACCGTTATCTGTTACAATAGCATTGTACAGGAGGACTGGTTTTGAACACACTTCACTGGCAGCAGAGGATGAGACTTGCTCTGTGGAGTTTTGGGGCTTGGGATAGTAGCTGACAGCCAGGGCAGGAGGAGTCCAGGTTCGCACATGTCTGCCTAATGCCGTAATCCCACTGCGGCTTGGCATCTGGAAGGGAACAGCTGTACTGTAGGTGAAGGACTGTATTACTCAAAGGCACCAATAATAATCCTGTCAAGGTCCAAGGTCCAAGGACAGAGTAAAAGAGAAACAAGAGGAATGAGGGATTCAGCTTTCTAACTGAAGCCTTGAAAAGTCCTTATAAATGCTTTTTGGGCAGTAACTTCCTATTACTGTTTTTTTCCTAGGACCATGGCAGGGATGAAGCAAGGAGAGAAACTGGGGGGCACAATGGCTCTTCCTGGCTCATTCAGTACAGTAGAAAAGCTGGTGCACTGGGTTCCTGAGTGATGTCATTGCCGATACACTGGGACCTTTCAGTGTCATGGGCAGGGGGGCTCCTCACAAATACAGGCAGCTCTCACACGAGGCAGAAAACAGCCTGCCTGGGGCTGAATGGCCTTTTCTTATCCCTGACCTTTTACCGTACTGCAGACTGATGCTCTCCCAGCATCCTGGTGCAGTGGCTCTGACATTGCCTGCTTTTGTCGAGGACAGACGGTGCCATCCCTTTGACTTTTATATTTGTAATCTGCGTGATTCAGCACAAAAAGACAAAATTTACATATCATTTAGAACCACAGGCAGTATTCAGGACCTAGATATTTAAATGTGGCAAGAGTTATTACAGCTTATATAATGTACTGATTCATGGGGATGCCCCAAATGCCCCTCTTGTTGTCAAGCATCCTGTTCTCCCAGACATCCCAGGGCGTAGTAATGATGTGTGGTGCAATATTACAAGATTTAATGATGCCATTTGATTTTCAGTTTTTGGATCTTACCCTTACATGTATATCACAAGAGTAGTGGTGCAAATGACATTGAAGGAGAGTGTTTGTTTCTGTGGGGGCTGCATGTTCACTGAGGCACAGAGACAAGGAAGCAGCAGGCTGGGCTCCCAGTAGGCTGTGTGTGTGGGGTGGGGGGTGGGTGGGGAGTAGGGAATTGGCAGACTGTAGCTGGGCCCAGGTGCTTCCAATAACTCTTCCGCACACAGGCGACACTCCCCTCCAACTGGTCCCAGCATAGTGAAACAACATAACCTCAAAACCTCAAAAAATAAGGTCTTCTGTTTTCTAAATCATATGGAATTATTTATTGTTTTGAGAGACTGATTTAAATAATTGGACTCTGGTACATCAGTTTCATGAAGGTCTCTACACCAGGAGCTGCAACGGTACTTGCACTGAAGGAGTCAAAGCTGTGTGTTGCCTGAGGTACACTGGGAAAGATCTCTGTCTTACAGTGTTGATACATCTATGACATCTGTTTTTTTTTGTGTTTGGTTTTGTAGACTTTCGGGTAGATGTGGTCATTCTCTGGTTTGGAGCCTTAAAAATGAATCCGTTCATTTTTGTTTTCTCTTCTTCTACTCCTGCAACATGGTACACGTTTCAAGATCACACAGGGCATCTTTTGTAGCAGTCTGTGTCAGTTTTTGGTTTATGAGCTGCAGGCTCCAAGTGCTGGGTATTTCATGTTCATTAACTTATTTTTATAGCTGGAATAGCTGTAAAATGTGTCTGCTTTGTTTTGCTTGAGCCGGTTAGTTTTCACTGGAGCCTGTAGCTCATAAACTCTGAAATGGATCACAAAGCTACACAGTAGGATATTGCTGCCATCTCTAAAGCTACAAACATGCAACATGATTCATTTCAGTGTTCTGCCTTAGGAAAGGCTCTGCTTTGTTCTGAGTTCTGTAGTCGTAAACAGACTCCCATGACTGTTGAATAAGTGCAGAAGGAGGAGGGGGTATATTACTTTTTTAAAAAACATACATGTCTCTTGACCGGCCATTGCTCTGTGAGTTGTGGTGGCATGGGTTTTGCTGCTATGTTCCTGTCAAACTGAACAATAATCTTCAGTGTGTGCTACGCACATCTGTGTACGTACAGACAGCAAGTACTGTTGTAAATAATTATGTTGCTGTGTAACAAATAAATGCACTCAAAAAACTAGAAACCTACGCGATGTCTTGCTACTGTGGTGGTGTGCATGCTGGCAGCATCATTTGATAGGTATTTTTTATGTTTCTGTAGTTTAAATCAAAAACAGAGATTTTTGTTTGTTGAAAAAAAATGCACTGGTTCATCCCTTTTTGGGGAGTTTTCTTGTTATCAGTATTATTATTGTTGTTATGATTCTATTATTGTATTCCTGTTGTTAAATTTGTGTTTGCCAGGACAAGGTGGAATTTGCTATTTTTTTAACATTTTTATTTTTCATCTTGTCTTGTGAGGCTTGAAATCTTAAAGCATGTGAGCTTCGACCAATGGCAAAGCTGTTTCAAGAACTTCAGTGCATATCAGATGTACATACGTACATGTTTTTATAATGTATGAAACTCCGAATTTAGAGGGCTGGAAATCAGTTTGTCCCGAGCTGAGATCACCCACAAGTAACAGAAACAGCAATCTAGTTAAGGGATAGACAGATGCCCCAAACTCTGTGGGACGATAAATACATGAAAAAAATGGAAATGCTAAAGAATGTGAGAGCTGACACAGGACAGGATGCACTTTTCGGTGACCTGGGAACTGGTGACGTCTCAGTGATTAACACTGGAACCTCCAGCAGCCCTATTTTTCTGCAGCCATTGCATAAAAATGTTGCAAAAGGTCTGCTGCTTTTCAAAATCAGGTTGTAAAGACATACTGTAGAAGTAGGAAACATTCTTCTTTAAAACTCTAACGCGCAATATTAAGAAAGAAGATTCCTGGTCAAGCACAAACTGGCACAACAAAAAGAAGACCAATTAAAATATTAAATATATTGGAGCAGTTTTTTTCATATCAATATTAAAAAGTCAAACATTTTCTTTTATGCCATACCAAGAAACATCAAATATGAAAACTTCAGATTAAAGATTGGTTCCTCTTAGTTGTCCACAGATTATCCCAGGTCTCTTCAGCTTTTATAACAACATAGAACTATTCAAACCACTACTTAGGCACTTGTATGTAGCAGATTGTCACAGATTGTCAGAGAACTGTGTGGCTAATTACCACAGCAGCTTTCCTACTTTCGCAGTGCTTTCTATCCCTGGTCTGTGTATAATTTATGTTAGCATGGTTCTCACCTGTTCCTGTCCTGCCTCTCAGCTGTCCCATACTGTGAAATCTGTGGACAACCTGTTAATCAGCTCGTTGTTGGCTCTAACCATGGACTCCAGGACCAACTCAGTCTTATTTCTAAGTGGACCCGCAGAGCTGCTTTCTATGGTTAACTTGTCATCAGCCATGATAATGATGAAAATGCTGAGAAATACTTAGAGTGACTTTGTAAAGCCACCTTTTTTTTGTTGTTGAAAAAGCACTTGAAAAAACAAAAAATTCTGTCTTTTTTTGTTATTGCGTTTCAATGCAAATGTCCTTTTTTTGTTACTATTCAATAAAGTGTTGAGACATGAGTATCTCCTTCCTGTTGTGTAAATTGTGGTCAGTGACTTGCACCAGTGCGGGACCTGTGCAATCAGCACTGAGCTCAGTACTGCAGTAGCCAACACCAAGCCACAGTACTGCAGGGAAACAAACATGAGTATCTAAAGCCCTGGCTTTGTCTATCATCAGGGTGTAACGCAGTCAAGCGTAAGGTTAATCTTTAAATGTAAAAGACGGTGGACCGCACCTCTTTTGGGACGTTAGTTCATTTTATCAGCAGTGCTCTCAATGAGTAGGAAACCTGTAACCAGAAAGAAGCCAATATCTACAAGCACTAGGAGTGCATGGGGTGCTATACGTGCAGAGAGAAGAACAATCCACAATTTTCAGGGCTACGCATTGGTAGACAACAATGAAAACAAGGGGTCACAGGCAGTGATGTCACTGCATGCTGCAAGTGTCCGAGGCAGTCAAATAATAAACATCATAATTCATTTCAATGTTGATTGGGCAATAAGCTCCTTAACTAATTGAAATAGCTCATAGAACAAGTAACAAACTGGTTGTAACAAAATAGGAAGGCTTGAGATTTGGCTACGATCGGTACAGGCATCTAGATTAACTTGCTATTTGTCATCTCTTTCAACTAGTATTTCTGTCAGACTGTGGCATCGAGCTCAGGCAGCCACTGACGTGCCTGTGCTATATTTGGGAGTGCTCAGGTACTAGCCTTCTAAGGAAGAGTCAATCCATGGGCCTTCACAGTTTCTTACACAAAGAGGGCATTTGTTTTTCTGCTTTGCATGTCTCTGAAATCCCCCAAAAAGCTTCCTAACAATAGCGTGAGATATTTGTGCAAGTTCATTAATTGGGAAGAAGAAAATGAGCCAGACTCTTGCCTCTGTCCTTTTCCTTCTGCCTCCAGTACAGATTTGTTTCCTGCATGCGTATTTATAATCACAGCATTCTGTACTCTTTCCCTGTCCCATATTAAAGCACATTCACCCCAAACTTCGAGCCTGAGCTTAAAATTTCACTTTGTTTCTACAGTGCCTGCAAGCCACAGTACGATGAGGGTTTGTACATCTGGCAGCTCTGAGAACCCCTTTCAGAGACAAGTCTCTTCTCAGGACAGTACTTGAAAGGTGAGGAAGAGGTGTCAGAATGGATCATCACACTGCCTTGCACTCTCCTGCAGGCACTTCTAAATAAAGGGCCTACAAATGGCAGTCTGTGCCAGCTGCGAGTCCTCTGTCAGGTAAAATATAGCCAAAACAAAAGTGATTGGGCTGCCTAAGAAGGAATCAATGTCTGTAGATCCAGTGAAAAAGAAACAAAAATCAGTTTTAGGGGGTCTGGAAAACCACCATTATTTAGACTTGGCAAAGTGTAGCCGCTGTCCATCTTGAATCTAAGTCTTAAGCCATGACTTCTCAATAACTAGAACAATAGTGGACCCTGTTTCTGTGTTACTTTTTTCATTGAGATTTCATAGTTTTTTGCAGTACGTCCCTACAGATTACATTGATCTTTGCTGTATGAACATTGGATCACTTAAGTAATTGAGATAAGCCTTTGTGTCTCTGCTGGACAAGGGATAGACCCCTGACCTAGTGACAAGGAATAGGTGTACCTAGGATTCAGTGTTATTGCAAAGAGTATGAATAGGGTGTCAATTTCAAGGTGCAGGAGTTTTGAGATTTATGTGCCTGTCTCACAGTTCAGAGCTAATCCAGACTTCGGTCACTATGAGACCCCTTTTTCCCCTCCCAATACAATCCAGCCTCAGAGTCTAATTTTAAATGCAGAATTTGAATCAGGGCTTAACCAATTAGACAAATTAATTTAAGCAGCTAGAACAAACAAAGAAACCCAGGTTGACTAAGGTCCAGAGATAGGCGCTGTCAGAGGGACTAAATCACAAGCTACAACCAAGCCTGTCTCAAGGGAGTCTGTCTCCTTCAGGTTTCTGCGAGTGTCAGTGTACATCAGGGTCTTATAGGCTCTACAGGAGTCCCTGGTTGATACCTTGGGTTTTATACTGCTCACACCAAAGAACATAGGAGGCTGATTGCTCACCTAGCTGTTCATAGATTTACACAGAGCTCCGATATATTCAAGATGGGCTGCCTTGACCGAACAGAAATAACCTGCATGCAGCATTAACAACGGCATTTAAAAAAATTAACAACGGCATAAAAAAAATTAAAAATAAACAGAGTTTAACGACAGGAAATTGATTCCAGTTGTCAGATCACGTATAGACAAGCATGGCTGTTATCTGGTAGCCTGTTCTTGTGTCATACAGAGTCTGCGACTCTCTGCCTTTGCTTCTGGACTGTGAACCTCAAGTGCTCTTGTGTGACACTTCTCGATATAGCAGTGTCTGTGCTCCACTCACTGTCGGACAGATGACAGTGAGTCACCACAAGGCAGCCAGGCTAGAATCACTCTCTCTTTTCCCACTTTCAGCCTTGCGCATCTACTTCTCCCTATCTCAACAATATTGTGGTCTGTCTCTTTCCTGTGAACTTGCGTGTGAAGCACAAAACACAAAAATGGGGGGATTATACTTATACAAGGTCAGGACTGGGGTTGTGTATAGGGATGTGCTATTTGATACTTCAATAGCCATTTATTCTCCTGGAGAGTTTTTAAATAGAAGGACTGGAAATGGTTTCATTTGTCTTTTGCTTGTGCTTGATTCACAGGGGAGAGATAAAGAGCAGAGAGAGGGGAGAAAGAAGGACAAGAGTAGGAAGGTATGATGACTGACAGTCAACTCTGGCAGATGGTCAGTACATAAGATATCTCCTCGCTGACCTCACACGTTGGTGCCAACCTTTTCTTTCAACCTTTGAGCGCCAGACAAATGCAATAGCGTCCAGCATACAAACCTTTCCAGATCAATGTGTGGTTAGTTTTGTTTTTTAAATTAATAATCACTTTCAAAAGAATAACTGTCCATATGTTCTGAGCTGGCAAAGTAGGACTATGCAATGTCAAGATACAGAGTGAGGAGGTGAATATATAGTAGAAAATAGGATGTGAAAACAAGTGGAGCTTCTGTGATCTATGCAATGACATTGCAATTATACTGTCCTGCATCCGGGAGATTCAAGTGAAAACTAGATCTAATACTGGTGCTTAGATCTAAGCAATGAAGTTGTTTCCAAGAGATTTTGCTTCAGCACCAGGTCTACATACAGTAACCAGTTCAGACAGTTCTGTCACACTCTGAAATGAAATGCTTGAGAGACTTATAAAACGTTTTTGTTTTCTTGTTTTTCTAATTTACTTTTTTGTTGTGTTTCCTTCCGATACAGAATTAGATATATCCTATGAACCCAATGCACAATTTGGCAGCTACAGTATATCCTTGTCAGTCCCTGATTATACGGTCCTTTGAGTACATAATGCTGGCAAGGGAGTAGAATGGAGGTCAGAAGTCACTGATATAGCAAGACAGTCTAGTAGTTCTCTATTATTAACAAAAGCTGTACAGAGATGTCCAAGAAAAAACACTAAGGTGTTTGAAGATCATTGTAGAAGCAGAGCGACATGATAGGAGTTTTTCTTGTTCTAAAATTTGTGAAGAAAAGCTGTGCTTTAAACAAACAATTTGGTGAATGGGCATCAACTTCTGAAATTACAAGGATCATGTGCAATCTGGTATTACTGAGATGTGCTGCCATTTTCTCTATTTGCTAATATTTTTAGCATTAAGGGTGTAGTGTGCTCTCTGAATGAACCAGTTCTGTAGGGTTTGGGCATTTACTGGGACAATTATTAATTGTAGCAGTAAATCACAAAATTGATTCTTTTGATGGCTTTAGAATCCAACTGTGTGATATAACTCAAACAACGCACACACACAGGTACTAATACACGAGGATACATTTATTAATACATAAAATATGCATGTAAACCTAACAGATCTTATCGAGAGGGTTATCAGAATACAAAAAGTATATATTCAGTCAGTTACGAAGTGTTATACATATCAAGAGGACATACGTTCAGTATATCATTCATTTAGACCGTTTCATAAAGTGAACTTGGTTACAACTTCTACATTAGATACTGAAAATAACTACATAACACTTAGGAATTAAATTGATATCAACTGGTTGGGATAACAATTGAATTCTCGAGCTGAAATGCAATGCAATTCTCAAGTTGAATACTCATCCAATCTCTGGGGATTTAGATCTCCTGCGGGCTCTCTGGCTCCGTGCCAGGCTGTGCTGTGCTGCTTGCGACAGTGCGCTGCTGATGCTCACTGACCAGCTAGTTAGTGTTGGCTTTAACTAGCAAAGTTGTGCATCCCAGCAAGTCAGGAAGAGGACCGGTTCGTTCCTGATGAAGCACTAGTTCTGAATAGTGATTCAGCTATCCACAGTTCCGACCTGTTCATGAGGCTTGCTGCTGATGCTAACCTCGGGTGGATCCTCTGGTTACTCTCTGGCAACCTCCGCTCTAGACTCTTAGAACAAAAGAAAGTTCTGGCACTTGGACACACTGGCCGTTCCGTGGTTGTCCGGGCTGAGTCTCAGGATGGTCAGGAGGTGCACTGCGAGAATGTCCTGCCCTTGGGAGCCTTCTGCTCCTGGGCTGTCCTGCCCTGGAATTCTCCTTTGAATTCCCTTTAGAAAAGTCCACAAAATTCTCCTGCTGGAAAAGTCCACTACAGGCGCTCTGTGTTGCCTGTTTTTACCTGGAGGAACTTCAGCTCGTTTATTGGCTGAAAGTTCCATGGGCATCAGAGTCCCACATGGGTTACTCTGCCCTACCAGTCCTTGATTGGTTGATCAAGGTGAGATATGAGTCACTTACTCCTGACACCTAGGAATGCAGTCCAGATGTCCATCTGGCACTCCCTAGACAGATAGGTGCCAATGGATGACCATTGATCATGATAGCCAGGCTTAGCTAAGTGCATCCCCCTTTGGGAGCTGTCCCTTATCAAAAGAAAACATCTTTAAATCAGCCTGCATGAATAGCTTCTCTGTGGCTGCACCACAGAGATGAACAGAGAGATGGGGCCTCATTTGGGAAAGCTCAGCAACACTTAATTCTTTCTTATTAATAAGCCTCACCACTACAAGGGAGATGTGCTGAAGCTCTGTACTTCAATCCTAAGAGAAGATACCCAAACCACAAGACTTTTAAGTCATGATTATGTAGTGTTTTAAAACCAATTGCAGAAACCAGCAGGTTTTAGAGTAGTGGTGGACAGTCCTGGTCCTGTAGGGTCAGTGTGTCTGTAGGTTTCCTAGCTCTCTTCAAGAAGCTGTGAAATTGGTCACTTTAAACCAACAATAAGTTACTGTATGTTGTTAAGATCTGAGCTGGAATGAAACCCTGCAGACACACTGGCCCTCCAGGTCTCTGAATTTCTTCACTTGATTTAGAGAGCTTTGTGTAATACAGCAGTCTTATTTCTTTTTTAAAATACAGGCTTCAACAAAATACATTTCTAGCTGGCATTATTCACGATGGAACTTCACTTGTTTTTGATACTTCCTTTATGTAAAGCAATATCCTGTGAAATGAAAGCATTTCAAGGGTCATGCACCTGTTTACTCTCCACATAGTGTGAAGATGCAAATCTTAGTTGTATACACTAAATACTTTTTCCTTTTAATTTTTCATTCTCGGTGTAGCAGAGAAACTCTGGATTTGCTGATGAAACTCAACATGGACCTTTTTGTTTCTAATTAAATGGGATTCAGCATGGCTATGGATATTGCCATTACTGGCTGCATTAAGAAAAACAGAGTATAATTCAAATATTTTTCCTTTTGCCTACACATGCTCTGAATAAGCTCCTTGATGAAGCATCTGCATGTGATGTTGGAACCGTTTGGTGGTAATCAAACCTAAAAAACATAGCAATCATTATATCGGTTTATGTTATCATGGGGAATCTGACATTTCCATGGTAAAGGACTATGACAATATACTGACCAGTATTCAAAATGTAACATAAAAGTTTCTGACATTGCTCTTAAATTGTACAGTTCTTACCTTACTGATCGCCAACACTTTATATTTCTTGGGTATTTCAGTTCTGATGTTGGGTTTGATAAATCTGGTGTTCCTCAGGACTCAATACTGGATCCTCTACTATTCAGTATTTACATGTTCTAACATGGTCAGCTGTTTAGATCACATGGTCTGAGTGATCATTTGGTGTCGACTTTAAAACCCTTACTGTATGCTCACCTGTAGGGCTCTATATGGCTTAGCACCTCAGTGCCTGATAAGTACTACCCAGCTTTCAACGTTCAATTGTCTGACTCAGGTCTCCTTTTTGTCCCCCAAGCTTGCTTATATTCTATGGGTGACATGACCTTCTCTTGCTATGCCCCAGAGCTCTGCAATTCTATCCCCAAGGATATCAGAGAGACATGTTCTGATCCAGACTCAAAGCCTTCTTCTTCGGAAAGGTTTTTAGTTAACTGAAGTTTGTGTCTTCCCCTTGTATCTTGTACTGCAATCAAAACCCTTGTTTTTTATTGTACTATTTTATCTTTTATCATTGTTTTTAAAATGTGTTATTATTATCAGTGGTAGTAAAAGTAGTAGTTCAGGTGGGTAGCTGCATCAGCATGTGTAGGAATAAGCCTTTTACTTGTTCCAGTAGTAGTAGTTTTGATCAAAGCTCCAAGTTGCTACTTGTTAATCTGCTCTTAATGACATGTGCTGTATCAGGCACAGGCAAGGAACATGAAAGAATGAGCAATATTTCACCATCTAAACACTGACATTCACCAATATTTTTGTTGCATAAAAGATTACGTGTTTCTTCAGGTCTCTTGCAGAGTACGAGGTCAGTTTCTTCCTCATTCTATAGTAAATTAGTCAAATAATTCATAAAGTGAGCCATGCCTTGACCTCTACACTGTTCAGTTGGTTTAAAATCAGATGGATGCTAAAACTGTTGTTATGTTGTTTTATTATAGTTAAAGGTCTGAGAATTGCTTCATAATATCCTATGTGTGGTTCTCTTCATTTACTGTTTTCTCAGTTGTATTGTTTAAGTTGACTTCTCATTTTGTGACATTTTTAAATCAGGACTGGGAACCAAACTGCACATACATATGCAAAGCATACACAGACAATGTATACAACGAAATATATATATATAAAGAATATACAGGATATATAAATATATATGTATAAAGAAAATGTATACAAAGACTGGCAAGTAAAGAATAGTACTTTTCCAAGTTCTTCATTTTGATTGAAGTTTTAATCATTCACCTAAAGTGACCAGCTTGTCTCAGGATTAAGAATTTGACACAACCTGTAACACCTGCTTAAAGAAGAGCCCTGAAAGCCTGTTTTGTCAACTCAGATCCTGAACAAAATGCATGGTCATCAACCATGTGCACTCCTGTGTGACAGCAACTTTCTGTATTTCAAAAGAGACTGTGTGTTGTGGAAGAGGTCACTGAGTAAAGCATTCATTATCTGCAGGGTTGTCTTAAACAAGCCTTGCAACACAGCCCAGGTGGTTTATCCCAGCTCTGGCAGGAGATTAAAACAGAAATCCTTACAAGATCTGTACATTCAGAAAGGCTCAGGCATTTATAGAAACATGGTCTAGGGCAGGAAAATACGAAGGTGGATGCAGATTAGTCCTCTCTTAATTCATCTCTGTGCGTAGCATCAGTGGATATGCTGATTCACAGACTCTGACAGGCCTTACTGATGTTAGAAAAAAATTATGAATAGGTTACTTAGATATAAATATACATGCATATATGAATGAGCACATGGATTTTCATAGTTATTAAAGGAATTTTGTTACTATGGTGTGTTAGGAATTGTGTCTATAACTGTAATATCTAGTGCACTCACTTAGAAATAAAACAGAAGAGTCACGGAGGAGCAGAAGCCCTTGATCTATTTTTAGATACGTTGGAGATTTAAAACAGTGAGAAAAGAAATAGCTGTTGCCGCTTTAGTGCCTAGCAGCCAAAATAAAACAAAACATAAAAGAGAATTCCTTTTATGGAACACCATGAATCTTTAACGAAAACTGTTCTCCTTTTTCAGGGAATCCTCTCCAGTGCTCCCAGTTCAAATGAGAATAATCGCTACAATACTGTACGGTGCCAGGCTGCCCAGTGAACCAGACTATGATAAACGGGAGACCTTCTTCAGTGAGCTGTCTTTGGGCTCCAGGACAGCAAACAACGCAAGGCACTCAGGCCATTTGACAGATGCTCACACCTTGAAACTATACACTACTCTTGCCACCTTTTCTTTTTAAAATGCTGACAGATCATTTGGGACAAACTACAGAGACACATGCCTTCTGTTCATTCATCCATTTTCAGTAGCCTCTTCCTTCTCAGAGCATTGTGGTGAGCTGGAGCCTCATCCAGGTGGCAAAGGGCAAAGGACAGGATGGGACAGCACACACTCTAACAGTTCCTCACACAAGCACTGGAGGGGCAATTCGAAAATGCCAGTTAACCTAACCAGCAGCATGTCATTGAACTGTAAGAGTAAACCAGAGTACCTGGGGAAGGCCCACCTGGACATGGGGAGAACAAGCCCATTCCACACAAGCAGGAGTCCCAGTTCTGGGGTCTGGAGTCCAGTATGGAATCCAGATCCCAAGAGCTGTTACTAAGGCAATAAAGCAAACTGCCATGTCATCATCCTGTCCCAGAGCAACATATTTCTTTATTTCATTTGATTCAATGTCAAGTGACCTTCTTATCGCTGTATTTGAAGTTCTCTTTCATTTATGCTTTAGAGCACAGTGCTGCACAATATGTTTCCCATCTCAAGCAACTACGCACACCATACCGTGGTATACTCCCTCCCATTGTATACTGGACACTTTTGCACACACCCTTGTCCCCGGCAGTGCCAGCACTGTGCGAAATGACCTTCGGGCATCAGATGGCTCTGTTACCAAGAGGACAGCTGCCAAAATCCCTGTTGTTATGAAGTATTTCTCTTTGCTGGAACAACTAACAGCTGCATTTGAAGGTGACATGAATGTCTTCATATACTTCTATATACTGTATAAAGGGGTGAAAATGTAATAGCTAGAAATTCTATTGCTTTGAATTTCAACTGAAATGTTGACTCTTAAAATGGCAGATACAGTAACAAACCTTCCTAGGACAGTTAGGCAGAAACTTCATTTCTGATACGTGATAAGGTACCAACTGTGTGATGTGCAGACAGCTGGATCCTTGCTGAACCAACCATTATACTTTCTTCAAGCTCATATCCAGCTGAAGGATTATACAGTAAGGGAAAAAGCAGCCATGTCAGCAGTGGCAGCTTGGGCAGAAATGTTACCTGATACTCCAGGACTGTGTGGGTGGGAGATGATCTTCACACCCCTAGACCAATCCAGCTGGCTTTTGCAGGGTGTTAAATGCTAATGAGACAAAAACGTCCATCACCCAGGCTGAGAAATCAGATGCTTGCCCCAAGGCAACATGGGCTGAAAAGGATCAGTACTATAGCTTTGCACTGACCATTTTCTTCCTGTGAAAAATCAGATCTGCCAACCTAGCAGTTACTGTATATCTGTCCTCCAGCTGTCTGGAGCAACACTCACAAGCTGCCTTTTATCTAAACATTGGATAAGGCTGTTTCAAGTCTAAAAATCTGCCACACATGCATGCTAAGCTGAATTAAAAATAACTTTATTGACAAATAAAGTTACATCAAATACTTAACATCAAATATTAGACAATCAGAGAACCTGCTGCCAATACACAATTATTGCCATATTTTTCCTTCAGTATAACTTTATACAGCATAAAAGTAGATTTTAATTTCCCTACATGTCTGTTTGTCTGGAATGATAGCAGGTAAGCAAAAGCAGGCCCTAGGAAATGGCAGGTGTGGAAACAGAATGAAGCCTTTGTCAGGCTTATGTTTAGTAATATACTGTATTTACACATAGTCAAGTACAGTGTATTTATATTTTATGTAACAGGAGCAAAGTTGATATGAATCTCAAATGGAGCAAAACCTAACAAGACTGAAAACGGGTCAGCATTTCACTGACTTTTGTGCAATAATACTGTTTCCACTGAGAGACTAACCACATGTCCTTCTTGGTACCCCTCCCAGTAGTGGGGTTTTCCCTGTGTGAGCTTCGCTGTTCTCATGAGCGCAACTCTCCAGCTCTTCACCATCAATCCGGAGTTAAGCCAGCAGCTGAATGCATCGATTGACCAAGGTCTCTTAGCTTCCGTGGCTATGCTATGGCCAGGCTCCAGTGACACTGCCGCAGTACAGTCAGAGCTCAGTGTACAGTTTCCTGGAGAGCAGGTCCTGCAGATGTGAGTGGAAGTGCAGCAGCCGTGCGCAGTGCTTAACTGGAGAAGCCCGCTCTGCAGCGTCACCCGGGTTGAAACTTAGCAGGCTGGCAGCAGAAGTGTGAATCCGTCTCGGCTCTTCCGGAAATCTGCAATAGACTGGCCGCCACTCTTGCTTTCCACAGTGACGGTCTTCTGTTTTCCACGCATGTGGAGCTGGATGACCGAGCTGCGGACATTGACCTGGAGAGGCTTCTGCTTCACTCTGTAAAACAGCGCAGCACACAGTATTCACCCAAACTGTTAACCACACTCCAGTGTTCACAACAGTGGTAATCCTGAATTTCTCAAGTCTCCAGTTACAGGAGGTAGGCCTACGTGTACTTCGCTTCAGTACAGTGATGTAACCCCACAGCTGTATTGTACAGCTGACATCTGCCACATACCACTCACTTCCTGTGAATGACAGTGACCTCTCAGCCCAAATGTCAAACATGACAACACAGGCATTTCCTACTACACTCTCTCTTTAGAGATCTGGCCAGGCTTTTTCAGAGCTGTAACTTCACTTGTATCTGTGTTTTTTAAAACCCTTTTAGAGTTTCAATGTACTCTTTTCCATGTGTGAGTTCCACCTGTGAGTTCTGTACCATATGTGAACGAATGGCATCTGCAAACACACTGGACTGAAAATACTGTGTATACTCGAAACAATGGAAAATGTGGGTATTTAACATAAATTCATTTTCGTGTACATTGTACAAATACATACTGTATAGTATCATATACAAATACATTATCAGCCTTTTGTGTAGAAATGAAATTTAAACTAATGCAGTATTATATTGACGTGCTGCAATGATTTTAGTTGTTATGCAACCCATCAGAAAGTGTCGCACTACCACAAAACCTACAGTACATAAGTACATATGGGCAATGATTTAAAGCTCCTCTATATGATAAGCTCTATTGCTCCAGGGAAGGAAATCTCACATGACAGAAATCAAAGTTTTAGCTAAGGAAGTCTACTCTTGAATGTAAATAAATGAATGGGCTGTAAATGAATTGCAGCCTAATGTCACGTTTCCCTGCTGCCATATTGAAGACCATGATAGGGGAACTGAGAATCCTGTAGTGTTGACAATAGATGAAAAGGCCCCAAGTCTCCAAAAGTGATGCCGTGTTCGGACAGCAGAAATTATCCTTTGAAGCCAGATTGAGTGTTAACATTTCTCATAAGAACAGTAAGATGCACATCCATGCATTATCTAGCTGCTTGGTAACCCTTTATTTAATCAATTTTTCATTTTTTTCCCTCTGCCCAGCAAATGTTGACTGAGTGAGACTGTCAATACAATATTGTAATAAGTAACATTTCATTTTTTCTCAAAAGCACAAAATCTACAGTATGTTGAGAGACATCTATATTATATATAGTATCTATACTAGCTGTGTTTGCTCAGTCCATTGAGTTGAAATGAGGACATGAGCTTCTTTTAGAAAAACAACAGAAGCTTCTCCGTGGGGAGTGTGGGTGTAGCGCTCAGGGAAAGAGTAGGGATGATCAGTTACATTTCCTTACACAAACCAGTAACACATGACTCTCAGCCCATGCGACGACCGCATCACAAAAGCCTGATGGGGATACTGAACCACACAGCTGTCTGACTAGAGATTACTCATGCTCACAGTGAGGGGCTCATTGATGTTCTCAGTGACTGTTTGTGCCTGCTCCCATATGGACTATTTATAGCTGATAATTAGGTCTGCTGTTTAATTGAACCATTTCTCTCAGTGGCAGGGAACAAGGCTCTGATACCAGCCCTGTCTCACAAGCATACCCCTCTCAAAGTTGCAAGCTGGTGTATATGTAGTTTTCCATGTGCAGAGAAGGGATCTGTGGGGTTCTGGAGGAGGGGGGCTGCATGGTGTATTTGCAGTCCTTACAATGATCATTGCTCCTGGATAGACTGGCATTGCCTTGTGTTTTTAACAATTACGGGACTGTGCATCTGGTTTATTTTGATATGCAGTGCCTTCATTGTATGTGCATATTCCTTATGGATTTGTCATTTTTTACCCCCTGTCTTTACTTTGCTTTCCATTATTTTCAACATTCTTTGCGTACTTCTTTTCTTTATAACACTGTTTTACAGCTATAGATGACAACAAAGTGTCTCTGAGAATCTAGATAAAGTGGGTAACACCTGGCAGTGTAAACACTTCCAACATTAAAGCAAGGGGGATGTTTGCTGAGATGCAAGGGGTCTATATTCAGTGATTAAAGCAATCGTAAAGTTAACCTTAATTTACTGTAGTTAGTTCTGGGCAAATGATTAAGCATCTATCAACAGTCCAGAAAGACACCACATAACAGAGCCAACAGACCAGAAGACAGAGGCAAGGCAGGAGGACAGAACATAAAGCATGTGCCAGGCGAGAGGTCCTTGCCCAGGTCATCCATAAAGACCGGGTTTGAGCTAAGTATTTGAACCTTGCTAGGAGAACTTGCTATTCTGCATTTGTTGTGGAACTCTGAACGCTTTCCTGAGTAAAGAATCCCTAAAGTCTTAAATCTGTCACATTTCTGGTGAAGATGTCTCTTCAGAAATATCCGTCCTTCAGTCCTTTCTCCCTCCCTGTTCTGCATCACCCAAAATCTTGTCACTGCCGATTCTGCTGTGAGAACAAGCTTGTTAATAAATCTCTCAGTCTGTCTGCCAGAGAGGCTTTGCAGTGCTGTGCTGAATTATTCATTGCAACAAAAATGCACAGACAGAAATGGGCCAGAGAAACTGCTGAAGTTATCTGAAGACCCCCTCCCTCCCTACCCCTTAGTCCCCCAAGACCATAAGTTTCTTTTCTGGATGCATTGTCCATATTGACATATACTCAATGCCACACTCAGAAGATGATTGTTCATGCATACATACAAGCATAAGTCTTATTGCTACAGACTTTCTAAGCCTGTGACAACAGCAAACCTAACTCTTTTAATCCTACTTTACATTGCTTGCTGCTTGTCTGTTGCATGATCTTTTGGTATTTTTAGGGGTCGGCTTTCATATAACTAGCACATTCATAACCCTTTCTGCAGTCTCAATCTTCATCCAAACTCTATATCCATTCCATTCCCTCCACAACGCCAAGATCTCTGTACTTACATTCCTACTCTTTTCTCTGCCAGGGATACCTTTCTATAACAAATTCTAGCATCCTTGACACAGCAGCAGTTAGTTTGCAGTTTTCGTCTTTATCTACTGTATCACTGAGATTACTTGTTTGTCTGTAGCTCTTAAGACACGCCTATTCCCTGTCAGCTCTGGACCACTAAGCCACCAGTGTTCTTCTTAGGATTGGATTTCTACACCCTTAGACACTTTCTTCCCTAGTGATCTTATAAGCCTCCTAATTATTCAGAGTTGTGGCTAATTCTACAGACAGCCTATCCTAAGAGCTCTATCCCCTCCCATGGAATCCCATTTCCTCCGATTTTCAAAATTCCTATTATAAGGCGGAACATTCAAATGACCAGGCAGCCATCTTGGTTTAAGTTCAGACCATTAGGCCAGGGTTTTGAGCCAAGATGGCCACCTGATAGTGGTGGCAACCTCACAATCCTTTATGAGGAGATGGGGCTTACAAAGAAATCTCTTACTGGATCACAAGTCATCTTGTGAGGCATTTCAGCAAAGATAATAGTCACATATAATTTACAGTTTGGTTTGATAATTGGTCTCATACATTCACCATCTTTTGAGCACCATGGCATCCTTTGCATCTGGAATTTATGTTTTCCTTTACTGGCACATCCTCTATTTCTCTGTGCTCAATGTTTACAATTTGAATTGCATCAGAGATTGTTCTCACTAAAATGGTCTTTAAAAAAGTGTTCACCATTTAATGGCACATTGTACAATCCAAAATATGCGATTTGTTTAAACTGATTTGCTTTGAATTTAAAAGTTCAACACTCAGAGCTAATAGATGTTAGAAGCCAGGGTGTTTGTTATATAGTGTTTCTATCTGGGACAAAACTGAAAGCAGTTCAGAAGCAGGTCAGTCATCACTTTAAAACTAGGTCTCAATTAGGAAGCAGATGCTAGGATCCAATAATATTCGTAATAAATCAAACCACCCTGATGAGCTGTGTCAGAAGAACAACAGGAAAGGACAGGCAGCTCTTCAGGTAACTCTCTAATCCATATTGGTAGACAATATTCTGGTAATAAATAATCTTTACTGAACAAGAAATTGTAGTAGACAAACATGGAAATTTGGTTTTGTGTCTGCTTACCTCAGGTCAATAATCACCAGAATCTTTTATTCTGTTATTTATTGAAAACAAAAAGCATTGCTTGTTTCAGACAAGTAGTGCCTCATGCCATTTGCATTTTTGTAGAATTTTGTAAGGTTTTTAATAAGATCTAATAATGTTTTTAGTGGAATTAAACTCAAACCACAGTTTGCACTGCTTGCTTTTAGTACTCACAATGATTCTAAGTATAGAGTCTTGTTTCAGGATCAGCTTCAACCTTGGAAAATCTGAAATGGCCTTGACATAGTTTAAACCACACTTGCTGTTAAAGACATCAGCATTTGTGCCTCATACAGAATTGTCGATAAGTCTGAATGGGTCAGCAGCACCAAGGCTATGTGTTTGTGTTTAATCCTGCTCAATGATTCAAACCTCTAATGGATCTCTAACAAAACAAAACAGCAGTATTCATACTCGCAGTATTATAGGCTTCTAACTATTAATACTAGTAATTAATTATGCATTTGAATATTAATTTTGTTCTTCAATTAATCACACAACTAGAGGAGGTGGAACTTTAGATTGATGCTATTATTACCTTTGATAAAAAAGACAAAATAACTCTGACTATCAGTATAAGCCCAGCACACTGTCCCTCTGGCTGTGTGCTGAAGTAATCAGCTGCTATTTTATTGTGTGCTCTCTGCACCTTCCTGTAATGAGGACACGGCACGGGGAGCTCATCAATATTTCAGATTACATTTGCACAGACAACATTAATGAGCTCTAATTAAAAGCAGTCTCCTGGGGACCAACATCCAAGGTTTCAAGGAGGACCACGCCTTAAGGGGCTTGGTGCTGAAATGTTCTGGGGTTGCCCACACTTCCTCTTGGGGGAAAGGAATGATCGAGTCTGTGCGAGTCTGTGGGACTGTGAGGGTTTCTTGTACAATGGGGAGGATGAATTGTTTAATCATGGATGTAAAAATAAAATAATAAATAAAACA